GCCTAGTTAAAATAAGGGAAGGAGGGAAGAAGGGAGAGAGAAGACAAGAAAGAAGAGAGCAGAGAGTAAGTTCTCTGAGGTCTCTTATAACAACATTAATCCCACCATGAGGGCTTCATACTCTCAACCTCATTTAAACTCTATTTCCCAAAGGCCCCACCTTCAAATCCCATCACACTGAGGAACAGGGCTTCAACATATGAATTTAGGGTGAAGGAACATCATCCAGGCGGTGGTAATGACAAAGGCAGAAGCAAAGTTCAGGCTTTCTTCCCCTCCATCTGGCTGTGCAGAACACCAAGAATCGCCATTGGCCAGAACTGTCAACTACCGTGGGGGGCTCCTCAACCACCTACTTGCACAGCCCACTTGTGTTCTCTGCATATGATCCAGCTAAATCTTGGTTATAACCAGGAGGTATACATTATACGTGTATAAACGTATACGCTTCCATAATAATGGAATATAGCAAGGCTGTTCTGGATGCGTGATTTGATGCCTCATATTTAACCATTCTGTTCTTATGTGAGGACAGTGACACAACAGGAATTGTTTCAAAATGATGTAGAAATCTGGACTTCAGGTGGCATGGACATCCTCCAGAGAGGCAGGAGCACGCATGGTGATTCTCTGGCTAGGGACTGCCTGAAACCAAGCACTGGACATCTTCCCACCACCAATGCCTTCAGTTCCAAGGGGTCTGTTAGATCATGTGGCCGGAGTGGCAGGACTGCTTGCACCACAACCAGGACATTCTGGAGTCCCTTCCTACTCTAGGATTCCCTCAATGCTGACCATCTTCCATGTCCCCTGTTTTATCAGCTCTATTTCTAGTTGACAAAAAGTTGCCTTTTAAAGTTAAAGGAAGTTACCAGGTATTGTGCTTCCTTTTTTTTTTTTTTTTTTTTTTTTTTTTTTTTTTTTTTTTTTTTTTGCAAGAAGATTCAAGAAACACTTTGGAGAATGACAAAAATTAAAAGGACTGATTAAGCCAATTGTTGGTGAGGATCTGGATAAGCTAAAATTCTCAAACAATACTGGTGCTGGTGAGACTGTAAAATTGTCTAACCACTTTAAAAACAGTCTGACAGTTCCTTAACAATAGATACACTCACCTATCATCTGTATGAGTGATTATACTCTTAGGTCTTAACTTCAAGGAAATGAAACAAATTTCCACATAAAGACTTAATATAAAATATAAATGTCTGTGGCAACATTATCTCTAACAGCCAAAACACCAGAAACAACCACATGTCAATTAGCAGATGAATATATAAATAGATTGTGTTCTATACATACAATAGAATATTTAGGGAAACACACACACACACAACTAAGCAAAAAATCCCAAATCTACTTATACACCATATGCACAAGGATGAATCTCAAAATAATTATGCAGTAGGAAACAGACCACACAACAAAAAATAAAGATTCAATTGATATAAAATTCTAGAAAAGGCAAACTAATCTATACTGAAGTAAACAGTTGTCGGGAAAGGAAAACCATGGAAGACAGCAAGAGAGAAATTGTCTAGGGGCAGGAGGTAACATTGGGAAGGAAGGGTAAGTTCATCATTTTGTTCGTGAAAATGGTTGCACCAGTGTGTGTTTGTTCTCATTTCCACAATCAACAAACCTGCAGGGATGATGGAGAAGGTGGTTGTCTCCAAGCCAGGCTGTGCCTGCCTTGTCACACCCAATCCACGGACACTGTGTGACTGCACGTGTGTCTCAAACACCAGCGTTGGCATAACCCTGTCACATGCCCATCTCACACGTCTCTATGTAGTATGTGTGTTTTCCTTTTTTTTTTTTTAATTTTTTTTAACGTTTATTTATTTTTGAGACAGAGAGAGACAGAGCATGAACAGGGGAGGGTCAGAGACAGAGGGAGACACAGAATGTGAAACAGGCTCCAGGCTCTGAGCAGTCAGCACAGAGCCCGACACAGGGCTCGAACTCACGGACCGCGAGATCGTGACCTGAGCCGAAGTCGGACGCTTAACCGACTGAGCCACCCAGGCGCCCCAGTATGTGTGTTTTCCTATGGCCACACCCGCTGTTGTGTGTCAGCACCTTCCTTTTCACCACGGGCCTATGGCCTTTTACAAATGCAAGTTCCGTCTCATGCTTGTCAAACTTGTTTTGTGGACGGGGTGGTATATGTGTATGTGGGTCCAGGCTGTCTTGAGGAGCATCAGCATCCCACACCTGTCCTTAGGCTGGAAGTGGGGCCTCCACAGGTTTGTCAGTACCACATACCTGTCACAGAGAGCTGCTGGGATGTATATTTCTCTAGACTATGCTGCAGTGTAACAGGTGCATATTTGTCATATACTGGGGCATATGGTATCTGAAATGTTTGGGTTTCCAGGCAGAGAGGACATGTCCTCGCAAACACTGTATGAGCTTCCAGGTATATCACCAACACACTCATCTGGGACTACAGCTCTCTGATCCATCTCATTGATATCTAGTTTATGAGAAATTTAGGGAAAGGGTAACCAAATTAAACTGCATCAGATATGCAAAAAAGACAAATCCAGAATGTGACAAATGCTAATGGACAAATGATTCAGGAACTTCAAGAATAAATAAGAATAAAAAAAGGTTAAAAAAAAAACATTAGCTATAAGTTAAAAGAGAATTATGAGACAGAACTACTTAAGTCATAGATACATTTTGGAACCCGATTGCAACCAACCTGCCTTAAAAAGCAAGCACAGGAGTACCTGGGTAGCTCAGGTGGTTAAGTATCTGACTCTTGATTTCGGTTCTGGTCATGATCTCACAGTTCATGAGACTGAGCCCCACATCGGGCTCTGCACAGCCTGCTTGGGATTCTCTCTCCCTCTCTCTGCCCCTACCCCACTCATGCTCGCTCACTCTCTCTCTCAAAATAAATAAACATTAAAAAAAAGGAGCACATATTTTAGATAATAGAAAAAATTGGGCATTGAAAACATTTTATTGTACTTTAAATATTTTTTGAACAAGTTGTTGAGGCCTTTAAACTTGAAAACGTGTTCTGCAGATTATGCATTAAGAGCGATGTCAGGGTGCCTGGGTGGCTCAGTTGGTTAAGCCTCTGACTCTTGATTTCAGCTCAGGTCATGATCTCTTCAATTTGTGAGTTCAAGCCCCACATCAGGCTCTGCACTAAGCCTGCGCAGAGCCTGTTTGGGATTTTCTCACTGCCTCTCTCTCTGTACATCCCATGTTTGCATGTACTCTGTCTCAAAATAAATAAAAACATTTAAAAAAATTATAAAGACAGATAAGATGTCAAGATTAGAAGTAAAACAGCATAGCAATGTGCATCATAATAGCAGAAACAAGAATGATGATGAAATGATAAATGATGGAAAACTGGGGAAAAGTTTATGGAACTTCATAACACAGTCCTTTCCTTTATGTATATATTTGAAAATATCCATTATAAAAGGTAAAATATGTCCTTGATTCAGTAACTTTATAAATTAAGGATGGATTATGAAGGGCAAGAAGGAACTTTTAGTCTCAAAAGTTTAAGAATACCAAAACACAAATCGTATGCTTTAAATATACAACAATTTATGACAAGACAAAACTATATAGTCAATACTCATTTTTCATGGATTTTGTTATTTATAAATTTGCCTACTTGCTAAAATTTGAAGCTATAAAATCAATACTCACACTTTTATATTTACCCAGACACATGCAGAGCTACAAAAAATTTGAGTCACCTGATGTGCATGAGATCTACAAGGCCACAGGATGCCTTCTCATTCACACTGAAAACAAGTGTTCTTCTCATGATCTCCTTATTGACATACTTGCAGTTTTTATGATTTTGTGGTTCCAAATGGCCTCCAAGCCTAGTACCTAAGTGCTGTCTAATATTCCTAAGCACAAGGAATGTGCCTTAAATAAAATACATGTTAGGTAAATATTGGTTAGGCATGAGTTACAGTGCTGTTGGCCATGAATTCAATGTTATTCAATCAACAATATACAGTAAATGAGTTGCATTTAAACAGAAACACATGTAGGGGGGGCCTGGGTGGCTCAGTCAGTTGAGCGTCTGACTCTTGGTTTTGGCTCAAGTCAAGATCTCACAGTTTTGTGAGTTTGAGACCTGCACTGGGTTCTGCACTGGCAGTGCAGAGACTGCTTGGGATTCTCTTTCCCTCTCTCTCTGCTCCTCCCCCCACTCGCACTGTCTCTGTCTAAAATAAAATTTTAAAAAATATGTTAAACAGAAACACATGTAAAACAATGTTATGTATTGACTGACGGATGAAAATGTGACCAGAGGCCCTTAGGAACCTTATTTCCCCAGGAACAATGGCTCTGTATTCACTAATTCAGTGCTCCCAGTAACTTTCTAGAACATAACTATCATGAATAACAAGAACTGACTGTACTTCAATAAACCTGTTAAAAGAGCAAAGTAATTCTTAAAATTTGTGACTTCCTAATTATTTTACTATGTTTTTATATGTTCTTGGCATTATTCATGGCTACCTATCAAGTCCAGTGAAAACAGAATATGCTGTGGTACAAAGAAATTTGTATCTTTGTCCCCTCTCAGTCTGCCCTAACAAAATACCAGGCTACTTGGCTTAAACAGCAGAAATTTATTTTCTCACGCTTTAGAGGTTAGAACTCCAAGACCAAGGTGCCATCAGGATTGATTTGTGATGAGGCCACTCTTCCTGACTTACAGACAACCATCTTTATTAGATGGTCTGTCTTTTGTTAATGGAGAGAGAGAAAGACAGAGCACACAAAAGTACACGAGGGCCACACCTTCCAGTATCTCCTCTTCTTAAAAGGACGCCAGTCACATTGGATTAGGACCCCATCTTTATGACCTCATTTATCCTTAATTATCTTAGTAAAAAAGTCACATCTGAAATACTTACATTAGGGATTAGGACTTGAACATACAAATTTTGAGGGGACACAATGCAGTCTATAACAGACTTACCTGTATTATGTAAAGGGCTTTATTCCTTGTGGATATTCTGGTGTTTTAGGAGATGACAGTTGAAAGTAAATGATTTTCCATGTTCACTACAACCATAAGGTCTTTCTCTAGTGTGAACTCTCTGATGATTAATGAGGTTAGAACTCTGGCTAGGTCGGTGGTTAAGCCGTCCGACTTTCAGGTCATCTGCTGTCCCGCGTGAGTGCCTCCCCATGTGCCAGGCTCCTTGGCTTTGATGGCTCAGAGCCTGGAGCCTGTTCATTCTGTACCTCCTCTCTGTGTCTCCCTCCCCCCGTTCACATGTTTGCTCTGGTTCTCTGTCCCAAAAATAAATAAACGTTGAAAAAAAAAAATTTAAAAAAAAAAAAAGAACTCTGGCTAAAGGATTTCCCACATGTACTGCATTCATAAGGCCTTTCCCCAGTATGAACTCTTTGGTGCTTAATGAGGCTAGAGCTGTTGCTAAAGGATTTCTGACACTCATTACATTCACAAGACCTTTCTCCAGTGTGACTTCTCTGGTGTCTAATGAGGCTAGAGCTGTGGCTAAAGGATTTCCCACATTCACTGCACTCATTAAGGCCTTTCCCTCATGTGAACTCTCCAGTGTAGAAGGAGCACAGAGCCATGGCTAAGTGATTTCCCACATTCCCCAGAATGAAAAGGCCTCACTCCAGTGTGAATTCTCCAGTGTGTAATGAGGTAGGATTTGCAGCTAAAGAATTTCCCACATTCACTACACTCAAATGGCCTGTGTCCAGTGTGAACTCTCTGGTGCTTAATGAAGTTGGACAAGTTGGTAAATAATTTTCCACATTCATCACATTTGTGAGGTCTTAAACAAGTGTGAATTCTCTGATGTTGAAAGAATCGGTAACTAGAGATAAAGAATTTCCCACATTCACTGCACTCATAAGATCCTTCTCCAGCATGAACTCTCTGGTGTTTAATAAGGTGAGAACTCTGGCTAAAGGATTTCCCACATTCCCCACCCTCATAAGGCCTTTCTCCAGTGTGAATTCTCTGGTATTTAATGAGACTGGAGCTGTGGCTAAAGGCTTTCCCACCTTCACTGCTCTCATAAGGCCTTGTTCCAGTATGAATTCTCTGGTGAGTAATGAGGTCAGATTTGTAGCTAAAGAATTTCCCACATTCACCACAATCATATGGCTTTTTACCAGTGTGAACTTTCTGATCATAATGAAATTGTACTTCTTGCTAAATAATTTTCTGCATTCATCACATTCATGAGGTCTTAGCCTGGTGTGAACTCTCTGGTGTTGAATGAGGCCAGAGCTTTGCCTAAAGGATTTCCCACACTCCCCACACTTATAAGGCTTTTCTCTAGTGTGAACTTTCAAATGGTCATGGAGGCTACAGCTTTTGCTAAAGGATTTCCCACATTCACTGCAGCTATAACATCTTTCCCTCGTGAGGACTTGTTGGTGCTGAATAAACGTGTGTTTGGGGCTAAAAGTTCTCATGCAGTCTCCCTGGTTACAATGACAGTTTACATTGTGGAAGGCCACCACACACTCAGTTACACTGTTTGACTTCTCCCCAGTGTGAGTGACCTGTTGCCAGAGAAAGTTGAGCTGGCCAAGAAGTCCTTCCTCATTTCTTTGCAGGTAAAGGGCTTCACTGACATCGAATTTGCAGTTCTCTAAAAGCAAGGCTCCGCCCATATTGCTTCTGAAGTGTTTCTCTCCAATGTGCTGCTAATGGTGCTGATGAAGGTTTGCAGTGACATGAAATTATTTTCCAAATGCCCCACATATGTACAGTTTCTGCTTATGATGAGTGTCCTGGTGCTTGATCAAATGCAAAATGTCTCTCAAGATGGGTCCACAAATCTTCTGGGGAGAAATACCTGCTTTGGAAGTCCCATCCTGTGACAATACTCTCGCAGAAATGCACTGCTCAAAACATATGGCCTTATCCTCCACTCCACACCGACAACCTGAAGGAAAGAAACACTGATGAAATGCATGTTGACTCTGGTGAGAAGGGGAAACATGTAGAAAAGTTATCTGACCAACCCAGGAATGAATCAGTGGGACTATTCTGAGGACCAGAGATCTGGGTACAGATTGTGGATGGGTAGCTTATCAGAACTGGGCCTCTAAAGATCATGGGATGGGGGAGGCCACACAAGGTAAAAGACACAACCATGGGGTGCAATACAGGAAGGAGCAGCATGGTCTACTACTTGTCCCTCTACAAACAACATTCAGCATATCTTGTCTTCTGCTGCCGTTGGTGTGTTAGGTAGAAGAATGTGTTCAGGCAGGAAAATGTGACTGCAACAGAGCAGCTGATATGTGATGACTGTCTATGTGCACACATCATGACCCAACATGTAGACGCCAGTGTTAGAGCGCTCCAGGCAGAGCAATAACAGGTGAGATGGAGTCCACCAATGTGGGGGAATAACCCTGCTCTGGAAGTAAGAGTAGAAGCAATAAACAGCAGACATGACAGTTGGCAGTGTCAAGAATGGGAAAGGCACTAATAAGGTTTAGTCACCACTGTCATTACACCACAATATCAAACAATAAGTTTCTGATACGATTTGAACACAGCCCTGACACTGTGCCTCCCCCAGGTTCCCATTGAGCTCATCTTGCTGGGGCTGGATTCATGCTATGGACTCAATGTTTGTGTGTCTGCAAAATTCTCACGGTGAAATCTTAACCCTCAAGATGATGGTATTAGGAGGTGTGTGTGGCCTGTGGCAGGTGATTAGATCATGAGGGTGAAGTCCTCATGAACGGGATTAGTGCCTTTGTAGAAGTGACTCTAGAGAGCCCTCTCATGCTCTTTCTGCCACGTGAGGACATGGGTACAAGATGGCCATTTATGAACCAGGAAGAGGCCCTTACCACTGAATCTGCCAGTACCTCCACTGAGGGCTGCCCAGACATCAGACTTGTGAAATACATACTTCTGTTCTAAACACCCAGCCTATGTTAGTTTGTTATAGCAGTTGAAGTGGGCCAAAACAGAAATTGGTACGAGAAGTGGGGGCCTGCTGCAACAAATACCTAAGAAAGTGGAAGCAGCTTTGACACTGGGAAGTGGTGGGTAGGCTGGAAGAGCTTTGTGGTGTGTACCAGCAAAGGCCAATACTGTCACGAAGGGAGTGCTAACAGCAATTCTCATGAGACTTTAGGAAGAGGAAAGTTGTACAGAAAGTTTCCATCATCTTAGATGATACTTAAGTAATCATGAACAGAATGTTGGTAGAAATATGGATGGACTTCACCAGAATGATGGAGGAAATAAGGAACATGTTATTGGACAATGGATATAAAAGGATGAATTTTGTTCATGTTCTAGTATTTTGTAGAAGTAAAGTGTAAAAGCAATTAAACTGGATATTTAGCTGGGAAAATTTCTAGGCAAAGTATTGAAGGAGTTGCTTGGTTCTTCTTGAATGCTTATAGTAAAATGTAATTAGAACTGATTTGAAGATGGGACGGTTAAGCAAAAAGGAACCAGAACTTGGGGAGCCTGGGTGGCTCAGTTGGTAAAGCGTCTGACTTCGGTTCAGGTCACGATCTCACGGTTCATGAGTTCCAGCCACACGTTGGGCTCTGTGATGGCAGCTCAGAGCCTGGAGCCTGCTTCAGATTCTGTGTCTCCCTCTCTCTGCCCCTTACCGACTCATACTCTGTCTCTCTCTCTCAAAAGTAAATAAACATTAAAAAAAAATTTTTTTTAAGGAACCAGAACTTAAAGATGTGGAAAATTCTCAGCCTATCTACGTTGAAAAAAATGAAAAAGCAGTTTTCTTAAGAAAACACTAAGGACGTGGGCAAGTGACTGATAAGGGTATCAGAATGCATATGAACCAGACGTTATCAGCCACCTCCATAGAAGCCAGGTGCTATTCTTCAAGACAAGGGAAGAATGACACCCTCCTGCCCAGCACCTCAGGGTCATCAGACCCTCAGGGCTGCCATTCCCACCAACAGACCAGAGTATGGGCCAGTGGGGTACAGTGATTTCATTGGGGGTCAGGGGGAGAGGGTCCACTTCCCTGGTTCAGGCGGGCCGGATGTGCCTACCGGGGCCTCAGGAAGGGGCTCTGGCAGAGAGCTGTAGTGTGCTCGCCACAGAGAGGGGGCCAATATTCAGAATAGTAGGGCCAGGACCCAAAGCGACAGAGTCACCAGCTTATAGTTCCAGTTTGAAAAGAGCTACAGTCATGAAGTCCCAATTCAGGAGAGCACCAGAGGCAGGACTGCTGCCTATGAGAGCCTTGGAGGTGGGACTGCTATTCTGTGGACCCGGATGGCACACCATGGAACCATAAAGTATTCTTTAGGCTTAAGGTTTAATGAAATTTGCCTGTGTGTTTTGAACTTATTTGCTATCTATCACTTCTCTTTCTCATTTCTTCCTTTTGGAACAGGAATATCTACTCTACCTCTGTTCCACCACCATAGTTCATAAGCACGTAACTTGTTTGGTTATATAGGTTCACAGCTGGAAAGAAATTTGTTGCAGGACAAATCATACCTCAAGTTTCACCCACACCTGATACAGATGATATTTAGATAAGGCTTTAGAATTCAAAGTTGATGCTAGAACCAGTTAAGATTTGGGGGCTGCTGGAATGGGATGAATGCATTTTGCATGTGAGAAAGACATGAATTTTAGGAGCCAGGGGTGGAATGCTATGGACTGAAAGTCTGTGTCCCCCCAAAATGCATGCTGAAATTCTAACCCTCAATGTGATGCTATTAGGAGGTGGGGACTCCGTGAGAGGATGAAGGGTAGAGCCCTCATGAATGAAATTAGTGCCCTTATAAATGAGACCCCAGAGAGCTCCCTAATGCCTTTTACTATGTTAGGACACAAAGAGAAGGCAGCAGCTATTAACCAGGAACAAGGTCCTCAGCAGAACTAGACCATGCTGGTGATGGACTTCCCAGCCTCCAGAAGTGTGAGGAATAAATGTATGTTTAACGACCCAGCCATGTTGGTTTTTTACAGCAGCATGAAGGCAATTCATTTCCATCCTGTGAACCACAGGAGCTCTCCACCTCACCCCCAAAATAAGCAACTACACAGGACCTGGGTGATACAAGGATTCAGGGAAAGACAGAAGGGCACCAAAGATGGGCCCAGAACAACTCAGCACGTGATATACCGCAGGAAAGAAAACTAACAAAGAGAGCTTCAGAGGAGGGTCTTGAAAGAATAGATTCTGATCCATAAGTAGTGACTGTCAGTAATAACAACACCTGGCACAGGCAAGCATGAAGAAATGTCGGCTAGAGGAAGGAAGGACACCTAGGCACACGTGCCTTGGATCTGCACAAAATCACCTGGCCTGTGAGAAAGTAAGCAACGTAGGATTCATTAGGATGACTGCATCCTGACCCTCCTGACCCTGCATCCTTCCCTGGGAGTCTGCAGGGAAGCAGGTGCTAGGGCTGCTAAAGGACAGAAGAGGGCAGTGCACATACCTTTGCCCAACCAACCACAGCACCTACCCAGGAAACTGAGGAAGGAAGCAATGCCCATGATCCTGGTGTGAGAATACAGCTGTCCCTTGGGAAAGAGGAAGGGCAAAAAGTATCTTAGGGCACAGGGGTAGGTTTAAGAGCCTTACCCAGGGAGGTCATGAGTGCCAAGTTCTCCAGCATCACATTGTGGTACAGGCACATCTGAGCCTCATCAAGGAGACCCCATTCCTCCCAGGAAAAGTACACAGTCAAGTCCTTGAAGATCACAGTGCCCTGCTGCGATGGTGACAAATGAACCACAGACAGTCCACTTCTAAGGAGACACAATCCCTTCCCCTACACATCTACAGCATGCCCACCCTCCTTCCAAGCTCCCCAACTCAGAGGAGAAACTATGCCCTGGCACCATTGGTACCACTGTGTCTTCATGGGCCCATTAATCATGGAGTCCAGACATTAGCAACAAGAGGCAGGTGGACAAATGTGTATCTAAGTTGTAGGCCTGGCATACAGGGATCCAGCTGCTCGTATTATCCTGTTATGGCCAAGGTCTCAACACCAGGTCCTGGGACCATCAGGTATACTCTCTGTCCAAGGACACATCATTCTTTATAGGGCACATCCCCTACAACTCTGGAACCTACAGCCACATGCCCACGGCCGCCAACACCTCATTGGCCCACTCCATGTGGCCAGGCATGTCCCTGAACTCTCCACACATCATTTGTGTTTTATTCAGCATCTCTTCATCCCACTGGTGAGGGTGGATTTCCCACCCTACAGTTATGGAGATGGCCAAACGTGAAATCTGACACTGGCCAGATGAGAGCAACAGCAATTTATTTTTTTTTTCAACGTTTATTTATTTTTGGGACAGAGAGAGACAGAGCATGAACGGGCAAGGGGCAGAGAGAGAGGGAGACACAGAATCGGAAACAGGCTCCAGGCTCTGAGCCATCAGCCCAGAGCCCGATGCGGGACTCGAACTCACGGACCGCGAGATCGTGACCTGGCTGAAGTCGGACGCTTAACCGACTGCGCCACCCAGGCGCCCCAACAGCAATTTATTAAGCACACATACTCACAGCATAGGAGTGAGACAATGCTACACCACACAGGGCCACACGGAGGTGGTACTCCAGAAAATGAAGAACAGAATGAGTCACCAGGGGCTCTGAGATGTAAGCTTTGTAGTATCAAGAAGTAGTGTACCTTAGTTCCCATGGGAAGAGGTGACTGGCTTGTCACATAAGTCCATGGATTGGTAGGAAACTGAGACCTGCTGCAGAGAGATACACTGGAACTGCTCTAGTCTTCTTGATAAAAAGGGGGTGTTTGGTTTGGAGAGCTGACCCACAGGAGCAGAGTGGGGATGGGAACTTGCACTCAGGCCATCTTAGCCATCCCATTTTCACCGTATTTTAAGGGTATCCATAATAGGTCTTAATTTTAGGCCTATGCTAAACTTGGCAGATGGCATCCAGACTATGCTTGACCTATCCAAACAGGATCCAGGATCATCTCAGACATCCTATGGCTTCCTTAGTGGTCACAGCACGAAAGTCTACAAAGATCTCCCTTCCTGGTTCCATCCCTTGCCTCAGACTCAACCACACAGAACCACGGATGGCTCTCAGATACCCATGGCCCGCTTCCACTTCTGGGCTGCCCCTGTTGTCCTCTCAATAGTCACTGCCTACTCCTCATTCAAAGCTCAGCCCATTGGTGGCCCACTCCAGTTCTAGTGACTCTTACCGATGACCACATGTGCTCCTGACCCTCTTGTTCAAGATGAATGAAATACCATAAGCCCCATAAAAGTTCCTACAAAATCCTGGTGTGTAGAGAGTGGTGAATAGGCACCTGCTCTGACCTGAGACCTTTGCCTCATTCTCGGCCTCTCTATCCAGCTCATGTCCACACTTCTCTTGGAAGCCTTGGCCACCTGCCAGACAACACTGTCGCTGGGGCCGGCCCCTCCCCACTTTCCCATCCCTCTACCCCCACTGATAACCACTTGCCTCCCTCATCTGTGTTTGCAAAGCTTGGTAACACCAGCCAGGTAGGTATCCGGGCCAGAGACCCAGGCCTCTGCCTCCACCCATCCCTTCAGCTCCCTTTAGAGGTTTACATCATAGCTTGAAGATCACCCCTCCTAAATGTTGACCACCCCACCAACATTCATTCACTGGGTTCCACAGAGCAGCCACCACATTTTGGATGCTTTCATCCTGAATCACTCCCCATATTTCAGACCTACGTATTCAGCTGCCCACTTAAAGGCCTCCCCTTAGTGGTCTCCAAAACATTTCAGACACTTAACAGGGTTAAAACACAGTTCGTGACATCCCCAGTGAATACTGCTCCTATAACCAAGTTCCTCATGGCAGATGATGGAACTTCCATCCCTACTTTTTTAAGTTTATTTACTTATTTATTGTGAGAAAGAGAGAGCACATGTGCATAGGGGAGGGGCAGAGAGAGAGAGAGGGAGAAAGAGAGAGAGAATCCCAAGCAGGCTCCGCACTGTCAGCAAAGAGCCTGACTCCTGGATCAATCTCATGAGCCATGAGATCATGACCTGAGCTGAAATCAAGAGAAGGATGCTTCACCAACAGAGCCACCCAGGCACCCCCCTTCCCTACTTCAAGACCAAAACCCATCTCTGAACTCTGTTTCACACCTTCAGCATTCACATCAGAAAATCTAGTTGCCCCTTTAAAAACACAGATCCAGAATCCAACCATATCTCAGCTATGACTGGGCCACTGACATTCACCTGGACTTTGGCAGTAGCCTCCACCCTGATCGTCCTTCCTCCTTGTCAAGCCCAGCCTTTGCCTCCTAATACTGCATCCAGTTGCAGCCTGTGAAGACCCTGGTTAAGATCGCCTCCGTCTTCTGATGCAAACTTCGCACTACCTCCAGAGTAGACACCCAAGTTTTCAGGCAGCCACTGCAGTCCTGACTCCTATCCCCCTGCTCTTTGTTCCCACCTGAAAGAAAGTCTTGTGGTTTCCTGACTATTCTGAGCTCAGTATTACCTCTAAGAATTTGCACATCCTGGTATCAAATCCGGGAATAAACTTCCACATGTGTTTACACTGACTGCTGGAACAGGCACACCTCCATATAACCCCTGGCATGGGCTTAGGACCCTATTTTGGGGTCCCTAGGCCCAAAGACCGAGTGAAGAGCACTGGAGTCCCAAGACACCACAATCCACAGGACATGTGGTTCAGGGTGAGGGACTGAGACACCCTCCAGTCCCTGGAGTTCCAGAGCCGCTTCTGAAGCCATGGGAAATGTGGAAAAAGACTGGCCTTGGATGAATGAGTCCATGGTGGGGTTCGATGGACTCAGGTCTCCCTGTACCCCTGCCCGGTCCTGAAAAGGAGACAGGTGACTTCGTGCTGGCTGCTCAACCTGAGGCACAGGTCTCAATATCGCCGCTCACCATGCGTCCCGCACCCGGTCACGTCGGCGCTCAGACACGGGGCCCCCGCCCTCGAGCTCCTCCCCTGCCCGGGCACCGGGACCTGGGCCGCAGGGACGCGAGCAGGTGCCCCGCGCTCGGGCCTCGAGGGTCTGCGTGGGGAGAGGGCGGGGAGGGCCGGGGGCCGCGCGTTCACCTGGGCGAAGGGGATACTCTGTGGGCGGAGGGGACACTCGGCCCCGGCGCCGGGCAGCCCGGCGGCGTCGTCGAGCCACGGACCCCTGGCTGCGCGCCGAGGTCGGCTCCTCCCCTCGCGCCTTCTCGGTCAGTTTTCTTGGTCCCAACCCCAACGCTCCTAACCCTCGACCCGGATGACAACACTCCAGCGTAGCCAAATTACTAGAAAGACGCCGGAAGTCTCTCCCCGACGTTTTGTGCCTCCTACCAAACGGCAATTTTCTGGGTCTTAATTGGCTGGGCAACGCTGTCCACCCCCCCCCCCCCCCCCCCCCCGCCCCGCCCGGTTCCGTCGCAGAACTTTCTGGACAATGTAGTTCTCACAGAGCCTCAGACTGCGCGTAAGGGCGCTCGCACCTCACCTCCAATCGAAAAGGCCCAGTTCCGCCGCGAGGGGCGCTGGGAAACGGAGACTCCAGGTCCCGGGGCGGAGGAGGGTCTTAGCTCCTTCTTAAAGAGGCGGTACTCAGATTTCTGGATAGTCTGGCAGCAACTGATCATTTATTTAGAGACCTGTCATTTTAGAGTCCCTGAAACTCAGCATGCTCTCAGAAGCTAAACATATTCTTCCAGATGTTCCCAAAAGCTACAGATCCAGATGCACATATTATTTCAGAGTTAGTCACAAAATGTGTCCAATGGTAGAGGAAACTAATAAAAATTACCGTACTGTAATTCAAATGTATGAGCTCTGAAGAATTAGAGCCAGTTTTAGAAACTGAAATATATGTGGGACGCCTGGGTGGCTCAGTTAGTTAAGCACCTGACCTCGGCTCAGGTCATGATCTCACGGTTCATGGGTTGGAGCTGCACGTCAGGCTCTGTGATGGCAGCTCAGAGCCTGGAGCCTGCTTTGGATTCTGTGTCTCCCTCTGTCTCTGTTCCTCCTCCATTCTCATTCTCTCTCTCTCTCTCTCTCTCTCTCTCTCTCTCTCTCTCTCTCAAATAAAGATTTGTTTTTTGAAAGAAAAAAAGAAAAGAAAAGAAACTGAACTGTATGTTCAATTAGAGACAAGAGGAATGCTCCAGATAGGGGCATGACAAGAAAGATGGAGAAGGATGTTGTGCCAGCCTGAAGCAGGAGTACAAAAATGGATCTGTAGAATGATGTATGGTGTCCAGTTTGGTGGGCAACACTTTTATCCATTCAAATTTCCTATTCAATGTCCTTATATTCACTTCCTTTAAGATCTGACATTGATCTCAAAAAGAGAACAATGAAAGAAATACTTATTTTGATATAGGACAATGTCTGCAGTGTTCACAGGTGGAGCATGCATGCAAAGGGTGCTCTGAATCCCGAAATATAAGAGGATCTTAAATCCATGATCTCATCTCATTTCTGGGAAGTATTATCATTTTCCCTGTGATTATCATTCTATACTGCATGAGGAACTGATATTATCTCAGAAAAACAGTTGTAAAATACAAATTATAGAAAGCTATTAATTTTTGTAACTGTGAGATGATGGACATTAATTAACTAGAGTTATTGTAATCATTTCACAATGTATACAAACATGCAATCTTTATGTTGTACACCTGAAACTAATATAATGTTATACATCATTATACCACAATTAAAACAGATTTTATTTTTCTAAGTTTATTTACTATTGAGAGAGAGAGAGCAGGAGAGGGGCAGACAGAGAGGGAGGGAGAGAATTCCAGACTATCTCTGAACCATCAGCACGGAGCCTGATACAGGGCTCCAAAAACCTATGAACTGTGAGATCATGACCTGGGCCAAAACAGAGAGTTGGATACTTAACCAACTGGGCCACCCAGTGCCCCAATTAAAACAAATTTTAAGGAAGGTTATTAATTATGATTATGTAGTGATTCAAAGATGGTGGCAGAAATGTCTCTGGAGAAATACTTTGGATGGTGAAAAGAGTAAAGATCTCTGAGTAGCTTCAGTAGTGATGTCGTTGGTGGTCCATGGATAATTTGGAGATTTTTGAATTGGAATGTTTCTAGAGCTGATCATCTTGTTTTACCATTAAAAGATTGCACATTCCCTGGGGCGCCTGGGTGGCGCAGTCGGTTAAGCGTCCGACTTCAGCCAGGTCACGATCTCGCGGTCTGTGAGTTCGAGCCCCGCGTCAGGCTCTGGGCTGATGGCTCGGAGCCTGGAGCCTGTTTCCGATTCTGTGTCTCCCTCTCTCTCTGCCCCTCCCCCGTTCATGCTCTGTCTCTCTCTGTCCCAAAAATAAATAAACGTTGAAAAAGAAAAATTTAAAAAAAAAAAGATTGCACATTCCCTAAGGGCGTCAAGGTGGCTCAGTAGGTTAAGCAGCTGACTTCAGCTAAGGTCCGGATCTCACTGCTTGTGTGTTCCTGTGTTCATGGGTTTGAGCCCTGAATCAGGATCTCTGCCCTCAACACAGAACCCGCCTTGGATCCTTTGTCTCCCTGGCTCTCTGCCACTCCCCTGCTTGCGCTCTCTCTCTTCCTCTCTCAAAAATAAAAATAAAACATAAAAAAAAGTTTCCACATTCCCAAGTATTAGAGTACCATTCAATTGAGACAATTTCACTATGAAAACATTGAGCCTGTGAAGAATATTACTACATCTAATTAAAAGACTTTAAAAAGACCAGAAAATCCTAGTTTACCTGGGCATAAGACTCTCTGAGAAGAAATAGCTCTTTCATGTAAAAATAGCATTGCCATTGAGTTTGTTGAAAGTAGGGAAGTTTTTTAGAAATGATTGCTTTTTATAGCATCCATGTAAACATATTGTTTTAAAATGCTATTTAGACAATCCAGTTACATGTTTTATGTTTAAATATATTTGACTATTTTACATTTCGAACTTTCAAAATTAAGAAATCAAAAGTAATTTTCAAATTGTTAACCTTAAAAATAACAACTGTCAGTTATTTTTCCAGCAAAAGCTTTATTGGGGAATAAAAGAGAATTGCAATCCAGGACAAAGAAGCTGCAGCAAAGCCACGGGCAATTATGGA